AACATCCTTTTTATCATCCTTCCAATCTTGAGAAATTGCAGATATTCACCACACAGCAAGATAACTGCTCCAAGGTTCAGAGGTCCACTCTGCTTTCAGGCCCCAGACAGACAGTGGGTTTTATGAACCCACTTATGCTATGACAGTTTTAATTTTTGGTACTCCCTGACTGGTTGTTTGCTATTTGATTCTCCTTATATGCTGCCTGGAGTCATTTGACGATTAAATTGTCTTATAAATCCAATATAGAGGTAGACAAATAGATAGTGTCCCTGGAGTTTGCTTCTGATCACACTGTCAACATTCATTAATGTGATTTGCTATTGAAATTCAGATTTGTTTTCATTGAATTAGTACTATGATGGGGAGTTGCTTTTTTTTTTAATCCTGTCCTCCCATCATCTCAAAAGCATAACTGCTAAATTTTGCTCAGATGTTTACTTTTGCTTAAAAAAAACAAAACAAAATAAAAATTCCTGTATAAACATACCTGGGTTTTGAATTCTGACTTGCACCGCACAATTCATACAGTCACATATATTATTTTGACATATAACCAGGTCCATTTACAAATAACATTTCCCCCCTAAAGTTATGAAGATAAAAAAAATTCTATCTTGCTAGATTAGAGAAATCACCTCAGTCAGCATTTTGTTTCAGAATCTGGGGCTGGCTTGTTGGTTTGTTCCTTCTAGGCAAGAATGACAAAAGACGCCTTCAAAATGCAGAGAATCTAAGATAAAATCAGATTACTTTGGCAATCTGAGAAAAAAAACCCACCCCATAACATCTTGTCCTGTCCCTGCTGGTCACATTACAGCAGTAATACATTAAACTACAAACAGTTGTGATTTCATGATATTCAAGATTTGCTATTTGAGGCTATTTCTTCCCACCTGATATGGACTCTTCTATAAATAGCATCTCTACTTCTGCAAGCTTACAGAAAAGGTTAGAAAAAGATGGCCCATTTTGCTCCAGGATTCATCTCTTTGGTGATCAGATGCACAAAGAAGATAGTTGTATAGGAAAAGGAGTTATAACAACAAAGCTTCCATATGAACCCAGGTAGAATGTCTTCTTCTGTACAGCCATTAACAGAGAACTCCTACCTACCTTTGCTATTTGCCAAACAGATATCCTAAGCAGTTAAAACAGAAAGATCTAAGCACTGACTTCTGACCAGCAATCATTGCTACCTAGGTTTTCCTTCTGTCTTTGTGCTTTGCTGAACATTAAATAAAACCTGAGTTTTGGGGTTCCACCACTCCTTGTAATTCTAAAGGGACCTTTTCCTCACCCAACACAAAAAGGCAAGAAGGGAGGCAATGACGACTGTGACCACTTTTGGCCCTTTGTCTGCTGTGGTGAAGTCAGAGCCGAACAAGACCTGGGCAACCTGTCTTCTATCATTCCATGCAGAAAAGAATCCAAAGGTGTGTGCCAAAACTCTTATTAGAATTTAATAACTATGTTATTCCCTGTTTTGTTGTTACATGGTAGATGATGGAAGGGAAGATAAAGACCATTTGGTGGATTAGAAACATGTCACATAGCCATTGGGCCCTTCTTTTGGTGGTATCCAACTGCTAAATGCCCACATTCCTAGGGCTACCAGATCTGGGTTCCAAAATTCTGGACAAGCACTAACAGGGCACAAAGAAATACAGAAAACTCTTTCTGATGCCATTTAGTGGTCATCTGAGTTTCTGAAGCCCCAATCCCTAACTTTGACCAAGACTAGAAAGGCAATTATGACCTGTGTCACCTGCCTTCTCACCTGTGAGGGACAGCCCTAGATAATCATAACAGGACCTTAACCAGTGGTAGCTAATGAAAGGCTTTCCATCAAGATGTTTACTTAAAATTAATATTGTTTCCTCACCATGCAAGGACTTTAACAAAAGGAGCATTTGGGGTGGAGAAAAAGTGAGCTTTTTTCAAACAAGGGAGCAAACAAAAACAAACATACAAACAACAACAACAACAAAACCCTGCCTGAGAGGACTTTGGATAAAATCATCCAGATAAATTCACAGAAGCAATCTTGGTGATTTCAGAAGGTGATTTTTCTCTCTCAACCTCACAGGGGAGAAATGGCTGGAGAGAGTATAGCCCTGAGCTGAATGGGAAACAAGCAAATGGCCCCATTATGTCTTTATCTAGTAGTTAAGTTTTTGAAATAGCTCTTGGCCAGAGCCTGATTACACATTAGAAAGTTGAAGCCTCCATTTTTATAGGGATGAGTCATATCTTCTTGATTTCAAGATCTCAAGACCATTTCAACGGTTCCACTTTGATCAAAATATAATCATTCTTTAACCTTATTAATTTTAGCCTCTTGGCGATAAATTACTGTTCATCAAACTGATTAAAGCTAATCAATTAAAAGTCTTAAAAATACTTAAAGCTGCTTAGAAGTGTACTTCCAACGTGCAGAGGTTTTTTTTTTTAAAAAATAATTATTACAACCAAGTTTTCAAGTGATGGGATTGCATGAAGGGGCAAAGAGAAAATACTTCTCTTCAGCATCTCCAGCAATGACCAGTTTGTGTAATCCTTCAATGCTCTACCTGATATTTCTCTTACAGTAGGGATGAAATACACCTCTCTACTTTGGTCTTAAATGCTGCGTCCTGAGTTTGCATTTAAGGCAATTCTGATAGAAGCCAGCTTCTAAAGGAACTCCTTTCCCCATCTTCGTTGCAGCATTAGCAAAAAGAGTGTTTTCTTTTTCTTTTTAAAAGATTAATAGGCTGTCTGTTTTCATCCTTCATACTGCTTGTTACAGGAGAGAGAGAACTGAAGAGAAATTACTTACTTCCTAAGCCAATGTTTTTCTGGCAAAATAAGAGTTATTCCTGTAAATGGTTATCCTCTAAAAGACAAGAATTGCTTACCAATCCTTTTAACAGAATGTTATCCAGGACAACACTGTTTTCAAATATAAAGTACTGTTTAGGATATTTTGTAGAGTATAGTATTAGAGCATTTACACTTTTATTAAGACTCTGAAACCAGGTCTCATTTTGAAACTATGTTTCATAATGTTTTCTTTATGATTTTGTTGGCCTTCTTATTTTTTAGCTTTCACAGGCCATGCAAGTAGCTTACCCATGAAAGTAAGGTAAGGTGTCCTTAGGTAAATGTTATAGGAGGGAGTTTTTTTGGCCACCCTCCTCATAGCTTGTTGCCATTGCTCATGAGTGAAGAATAAAGAACTTAATTTCATGCAACTGCCTGACTGTCTCTAGTATCCCAAATCAGAATGAACTTGGTAAGGAATAAAATTGCAACTGTACCAAGGAGATCACAGATGACTATTCTCTCTCTCTCTCTCTCTCTCTCTCTCTCTCTCTCTCTTTCTCTCTCCCAGGAATGGATGAAATGAAGATTGGCATGTGAGGAAAAGAGGCTTATTTACAACCTATCTAATTTACACGTGCTCAGACATGCAACCTAAAATGCAATTGGCCTTTAGATAAAATAATAAATAAAATAACAACAACAACAATAATAAAGTTGGAAGGGACCGTGGAGGTCATCTAGTCCAACCCCCTGCTCAGGCAGGAAACCCTATACCATTTCAGACAAATGGCTGTCCAGTCTCTTCTTAAAAACTTTCAGTGTTGGAGGATTCACCGCTCCTGGAGGCAGGTTGTTCCACTGGTTAATTGTTCTAACTGTCAGGAAGTTTCTCCTTAGTTCTAGGTTGCTTCTCTCCTTGATTAGCTTTCATCCATTGCTTCTTGTCCTGCCTTCAGGCACTTTGGAAAATAGCTTGACTCCCTCTTCTTTGTGGCAGCCCCTGAGATATTGGAACACTGCTATCATGTCCCCCCTTGTCCTTCTCTTTGTTAAAGTAGACATACCCAATTCCAGCAATCGTTCCTTATATGTTTTAGCCTCCAGTCCCCTAATCATCTTTGTTGCTCTTCTCTGTACTATTTCTAGAGTCTCAACATCTTTTTTACATCGCGGTGACCAAAACTGATGTAGTATTCCAAGTGTGGCCTTACCAAGGCACTGTAAAGTGGTATTAATACTTCACGTGATCTTGATTCTATCCCTCTGTTAATGCAGCCCAGCACTGTGTTGGCTTTTTTGGCAGCTGCAGCACACTGCTGGCTCATATTTAAGTGATTGTCCACTAGGACTCCAAGATCCTTCTCACAGTTGCTACTATTGAGCAAGGTACCCCCTATACTATACCTGTGCATTTGGTTTTTCTTGCCTAAATGTAGAACCTTACTTTTTTCACCACTTAATTTCATTTTGTTAGATAGCGCCCAAAGTTTAAGTCTGTCAAGATCCTTTTGTATCTTAAGCCTATCTTCCAGAGTGTTGGCTATTCCTGCCAGCTTGGTGCTGTCTGCAAGTTTGATGAGTTCCCCATCTATCTCCTCATCCAAATTGTTGTTGAAAATGTTGAAGAGCACTGGGCCCAGAACAGAGCCCTGGGGCACCCCACTACACACTCCCTCCATGTACATGCAGTTCCATTGAGGACTACATGCTGAGTACAGCCGGTCAGCCGGCTACGAATCCATCTGGTAGTGATGCTGTCTAACCCACATTTTTCTATCTGATTTATAGATGTTATGTAGTCAAATTTTATAATCCAGTCTTCCAGTTAAACAAAACACACACACACACACGCACACACACGCACACACACGCACACACACAACCAGAAAAAATATGTGTCTATTAGGACAAATGGACACCAACTTTTTAAATAGCTGAAAGCAACATAGAAATGAATTCTACTGGAGAAAAGGGTTTGAGCAAATGTACATAACAAAAAACAAGCATATGCATTAGGATAAAGGTATGTGAAAATGCACATAGACTTTTATGTAGACTTTAACAACAATGACCAACCAGAAAACATGGGCGGAAGGAGACTGAAATAAATACACAGTTTAAAAAAATGAGCAACTCAAAGGGATGGATTTATCCATTCAGAGTGCTAGAAGGACATATGGAACATTCCTTACCTCGGTCACAGCAAAGCTTCTTTTCCCACACGGTACCACTTTGTACCACTTGTCATGTAAGACATCCATGAAGCCGTGGGATTTATACTGGCTGATCAGTTCAGAAATATTTGAGGTTAGTGGAGAGTTTGGAGGCAGGCCAATACCATACCCTAGCAAAAGAACAACACCAGTATTTTTTCTCATTAGTTGATTCTTGACCATAATTGCCAAACAAGAATATCTAAAATTGGAGCTTTGGTAGATGATCATTAAAATACTCCTGTCAATACCTGTTCCTTTAACTCACTGAACAGTAGGATATCATCTTCTACTGTGGTTCATAGCAACAGCAACTTTTGCAAGAGTAAGAATTTTGCAGTTCTGCTGTCAATGATACTATTAGCTGATATACAAATTACACAGAAACAGCAGAAGCTCACAGCCAGAGAGACTTAACACATGAGTGAATCTGCAAATTAGGAACCCCTACTTGACCTATAAGCTTCTCCTGACATCGGAAACCCACTTTGACTTGCCTGCTGTTTTGCTAGCTAGCAAAGAACTGACATCTTCTCGTATATTCCCTAGAAAGTGGTACAGGATTGTGGATTAAAAGCTTTTTAACATTTGCATTGCTTCCTTGTAAGTATATCCCACCTAGAGAGACAAGGGGTTGATATAACAGACTGGTGGGAATCCTTCTGTATTCTGTAAGGCAGGGGTCCCCAAACTCCAGGCTGTGGCCTGCTACTGGTTGGGAACTGGGCCATCAAAGCAGCGGGAGAGCGTGTGAAGCTTCATTTGCATGTGTGCGGGATTTAGGTTGCGCATGCAAAACCATTTCCCCCTGCCCCTGAAACCACTGAAGCCACCACCAACGCTGCCTTTCCACAGAACCAAAAAAGTTGGGAACCCCTGCTGTAAGAGTTGGTTCTAAATAGAGACAATAATCTGACTAAATTTCTTGCAGCTTGGAGACCATTGTTTGATTTTCTTCAAGAAAAGGAGAAAAATGAAAGTTGACTTTGGAATTTGAAGACTGATCTGATAAAAAAAAAAAGTACACATTGTTAACTATGTAGTTATGATTTATATAAAGTTGATATGTGAATGTCAGATGAAATTTCAATTAAGAATATATAAATGTCATTTATTTCTAACTTCGTTATATTTTAAAGATTTTGAAAAGTTGGAAGTACTTTTTAAATATATTTTGTCACTTTTAAACTTTACCTTTTTATCCCCTTCCCCCTTTTCCTGTTACGTTAGCTTCTATTTTATTATTTTTTATAATTATTTATATTTGTGCATAAATTTATAAAATTTATGTATAAAGTTTTATATGCATAAGACAGAGGTGGCGATAGATATAGTGATGTCAAGTAACAGCAACATCAGGAAGAAGGAGTATGAGAAGCCAGAGAAGTACCAAGGTCTGAAAGAAGAACTGGAAGCAATGCGGAAAGTCAAGGCCACAGTTGTCCCAATGGTGATAGGAGTACTTGGGGCTGTGATTCCTAAGCTGAGAGAGTAGGTCCAACAGATCCCAGGAACAACATCAGAGCTCTCTGTTCAGAAGAGTGCAGTTTTAGGAACAGCTAAGCTATTGCACAGAACCGTCAAGCTCCTGGGCTTCTGGTAGAGGATCCGAAATTGAGGAAGACACATACCATCCCTAAAGATGAGAAGGGATTTTTATATATATTTATATGGATTCTGTAAAGGTTGGATTTCATGTGGGGAGGAGGATCATAAATTACAGATGGATAAGGTTGCAATTTTCTTCTCTTATGTTGCTAACCTTTCCTGTTTTAGGCACTTCTTTCTTTTCTCTCTCTCTCTCCCTCTTTCTCTTTTATCTCTTCATTACTTAAAAACCAATACCATTTCAGAAAAATGGTTGTCCAATCTCTTAAAAACCTCCAGTGTTGGAGTACCCTCAACTTCTGGAGGCAAATTGTTCCACTGATGGTTCTAACTGTCAGGAAATTTCTCCTTAGTTCCAGGTTGGTTCTCTCCTTGACTACTTTCCAACCATTGCTTCTTGTCCTGCCTTCAGGTGCTTTGGCGAATAGGTTGACCCTTTCTTCTTTGGGGCAGCCCCTTAGATATTGGAAAAGCGCTATGTCATCCCTAGTCCTTTTTATTAAACTAGACATATGCAATTCCTGCAACTGTTCTTCATACGTTTTAGCCTCCATTTCTCTAATCATCTTTGTTGCTCTTCTCTGCACTCTTTCTAGAGCCTTAATATCTTTTTTAATATCATGGCAACCCAAACTGGATGCAATATTCCAAGTGTGGTCTTGCCAAGGCATTATCAAGTAGTACTAAAACTTCACGTGATCTTGATTCTATCCCTCTGTTAATGCAGCCTAAGACTCTGTTGGCTTTTTTTAGCAGCTGCACCCCTGGCTCATATTTAAATGATTGTCCACTAGGACAATGTATGTCATGATGTTTCCTCTATCATGAGTCATTCTAATTCCTCAATCTGGTAAACTCAGTGGTGTTCTGATTCTGTTCCCAGACATCTCCAGTCATCAGAATCATGCAGGTTGAGCATTTCTGGAATGTGTTTTGAGTCCAGCTGGTTAGGGTAGTCTGGTTTAAAGACTTCTTTCTTGGAAATAAATTGGGCTCAGAAGCCCAATCTGAGATTAAGCTATGATTGATATTTTTTCTTTGTATCTATTAAACTGAGTTTAAATGGAGCTTGATTATGCTTTTGGGTACATGACTGCTGTAGAAACCCAAGTGATCTTTGCAGCCCAAAGTGGCCACTATCAGCTTCAGTTTGTGTACAAGTTATACTTTTGCCTGAACTAAAGTATTCTATCCACTAGCAATATTTACGCAAATGTAATGTGCTTTATATGGATCTACCCTTCTACAGTATTTGGTCCATAAACTACAGCTAGTCCAGAATGGAGCTTTGCAAAAAGGCTGAGCTAAGTGGTCTGGATTCCTTCTTAAATTATAATAGATTATAATGCTATATTATAATATAATCTTACATTAATGCCCACATCCCTCAAGCTTATCTGAAAGGGGAGTAGCAGTTCGGAGATGGCTAGAAAGAAATACAGTATATTAATTTCCCAGAGTATCCAGTAAAATGTCATTCTGGAGCACTGAGAAAGTCAAAATGGAAGCTCCTGATGTGGAAGACAGAAGATTGATGAGCCTTACAGAGACTTAAACATGTTTCACTGATGCTAGACCTCCACAATTCCATTGCTTTCTTCTTTACCACTTGCTAGGCTAAAGGCTGAAAGAAATTCAGGGTGTTTGATCTCTCATACTATCAACCCTCAACATTTCAGAATGAAATATCCTCTCTCACTTATTATAAAATCAGTATTTTTGGCTTTGAGATTAATGGGAGTTTTGCCTTGCTAAGCTTGCTTTTGATTATATGAGTTGATGCTCTTTTTCTCCCCAATGGTTTTTCTGCTTACTTGTTGTGAGCCATTCTGAGAATTTTACATCAACATGCTCATATAATAAATATGGGAAAGGGGGGTTGACCCATCTGGAAATGAGATTGGCATATGGAAGATGAAATGTAAAAAGAGTAAATGATCAGAAGCAAGAATTAATAAAGTGAAATGAACTGTGTGTGAGGGAAATAAAGAGAAAGAGGCATAATATCTCAATGAAACTGGTCTCATTTTTATGGAACTCAGCTGATAAATACATACAGGGAAGTGAATGTGGAAATTGTGAAGAAAGGGATAAAATATATGTTTTAAAGATTAGGGTGATGTCATCTAGATGGCTATGAATGCAAATGAAGGTTGAAAAGAGCCGTGGTAAGAATGCAGTAATGCAGGCTAATTCTGCCAACTGTCAGCAGTTCAATTCTCATCAACTCAGGATTGACTCAGCCTTCCATCCTTCCAAAGTTGGTAAAATGAGGACCCAGATTGTTGGGGGGCAATATGCTGACTCTCTAAATGGCTTAGAGAGAGCTGTAAAACACTGTGAAGCGACATATAAGTCTAACTGCTATTGCTATTATAGGCTGGTGAAAGGCACATGTAATGAACAGTAATAATGGGAAAATGGGAAAAAAACTGCTACATTCTGAATGAATGTGATCTGAGGCAATTATTTTATGGGGGACATGAATGGATGGATGATAATGAGATGAAGGAGCACAGAAAAAGATACTGAATGGTTTGGAAACTTAAGAATGAATTAGAACAGTGATAGCTTGGGGAATATCTGTTTAGGGAAAAATGGCCTGTTTCTAATATGTACTTTTAGCAGAAGTCTTTTCATAATTACAAATGGGAAAAGAATGAATCAAGAAGCACGCTTGCTTTGATTATTTGTGATGAAAGACAGAGAGAACTAGTAAAGGATTGAAGGGTGACGATAGCTTCTGAACATGGGACAGGCCATTGCTTGCTGGCATTAAGAGAGGGCATCTTGGGGGGAAATGGAGATGGAAGAAAAAGAAAGAAATTAGAAGGAAAGGGTCTAGATTATTCTCCCAACAGAATGAGTGGAAAGTAGATGCAGAAGCTGTTCGGAAAAGAGCAGATTAGAGAAATGTATTCTGAGAGTAGAATCACCACCAGTGGGTTAAAACTATGGATCCAGGTTAGACACCAGGAGAAACATTCTTAGTGGAACAAATTGCCACATGTACTGGTAAATTATTCTTTGGTGGAGGTCCTTATAGAGAAGTTGGATGGTCATTTGTAAGAGCAGCTCTAGCCTGCAGAAGGCAAGGAGTTGCATTAAATGATTTCTGAGATGTCTAACTTTATGATTCTGTGAAATGAATTATGTTACAGAGTCCCACAGAAATATGTGTGGTTGTGCTACGAATGAAAAGGAAGCTTGGTGAAAGAGCTCACATGAAGTTCACATGAAAGAAGTTGCAGGAGACAAAAGAATCCACACAAGAGAACAATGGTTGCAAAATGTAAAGATGAGGGAAATATATTGTATAACATATTCAGAGAGAGCAAAAAAGAGTTGCAAAGAAAGTAGACAAAGATAGAAAAATGATTACAGTTAAAAAAAGGAGAGAAAATGCACAGTGTTTTGAGGGAAATAAATGTGACATATGATGTATATAAGGCAAGAAATATAATTCTTAGTGAATGATTGAACATTCAATGGCAAGTTAGGTGAGGGCTAACAACAGTCCATCAATTGTTTCATGCATTGTATTTATGGAGGGCTACTTAAATTTGCTTGTTTGAAGTGATGTATAAGCAAGAATGAATGAATGAATGAATGAAATGTTTGGGATCACATTGCTATTATTATTGCATTGGGAATATGAATGTGCATGTACTTCTGCATACAGATGTTGCTATGTAGTTGGTCTGAATTATTTGCAGTGCATAACAAAGAATTTAATGATACAATGTGTGTAAGGGCCTATTGTGAGTTCACTGTAACACAAGAAATATAAAAAAGTTGGTGGAAATTGGTTATAAAAGAAGTGTGTACAATAAAACAAGAAGATACGGGATCAAGGATGAATGGATACTGAACAAATGTGGACTAAATACAAAAGCAAAAGACCAGTATAAAAGAAACATATTGAGATTATTTGATCATACCTTGAGAATATATGAGGCATGAATCATAAAATAAATATATAAAGGAAGAGTGAAGCAGTCAAGAAGAAGATGCTCCAGTAGTTTTTGTATTGCACCCAAGACACCTATTATTGTTGGTATTATTATATTTTTCAACTGAGAAAGAGAGCATCAGGTTTATACCAGTCAAAAAGAAGATGCCTATTAAGTGAATAAATTCCAAAGAGCTCTGCAATTTTGCCAATGGTGATTTCTAATTGCTTGTATAATCACATGCCAATTCATGAGTATTAGTAGTAGAAGTCCTTGCACAGAACTGAAAATCAGAACGAGATCAGCAATTCCTGGATCATGTTTTGCATCATTTTATATTAAGTGATGCCCTTGTGTGTTTGGATATGTAGAAAATTACATTTAGTCAGCTTGGCTGGTTCACTTTAAGGGTTGTCTATCCAACTAGCTAAGTGTTTTACAGAGTGGAACCAGTCATCTAATAGAAAGTTAAAAGTCCATATTTGCCAGAAATAAAAACTGGGATATTAGCTCATGACATTGTACTTTGCTTGCTTCAAGTTTAGCAACCACAGAAGTACTCCTAGGCCTTCCTTCCTTCCTTCCTTCCTTCCTTCCTTCCTTCCTTCCTTCCTTCCTTCCTTCCTTCCTTCCTTCCTTCCTTCCTTCCTCCCTCCCTCCCTCCCTCCCTCCCTCCCTCCCTCCCTCCCTCCCTTCCTTCCTTCCTTCCTTCCTTCCTTCCTTCCTTCCTTCCTTGTTATCCTACCGAAGCAGAACAAACCACAACATGATAAAAATAAGCTTTGCATTCTTCCTGGATGACTTTTTTCTACTCTGGTCATTTTTTTCTTCAGTTATGGATTTTCTTTGTATTTAAATATAGCAAGATGCTTTGTGGGCCTGTTAGATATAAAATAAGGATAAACAACTTGTTTGTTTGTTTTGTTTTGTTTTGAACCAGGGAATGTTGAACATCAAAAACTAAGATTTAATTTGATTTTAATTTAAAATTGGAATTTGATTACTTGCTAGTATAAACAACATTATATGGTATTAATTAAATGCAATCTATATGATTACTCCCCTTGATTTTTATTCTTTGACATTCTGTGACACTAACAATTACAATTTGGACTACAGCCAAGGTTTTCAGTGCTTGGGCATCTCTCCATTCCCCACTGCTATAAAGGTTATGTAGAAAACAGCAAATAAAATGGCCATATACAACATAGTTGTAGAAAGTTGTTTCATACCTTCAATTGCAAATGGTTTTCCCACTGTCAAAAGTTTACATTCAGCATCAATGGATACCTCATAATCTAGAAGGGCTTTGTCCATGATGAAGGCATCCAATTTCTCTGGGTCCTGCCTGAAAAGTCAACGAAGTGCAACAAACAAACAGCGATTAAGTTTTATCCATTTCTACAAGACTTATAGTTTCCAGATGGAAATTCTAGATCTATTTTCCTTAATCCACAGGAAACCTCTAATAAAAATCAAAGCAAAATCTCATCTGTAAGCCAATAAACATACATAATCTGATGCTAGCCTGTCAACCAATTTATCTTTTTTTTTTAACTTGGTGAAATGAAACATATACGCCTTTTAAAAGCTAATGGATACATTTTAGCTAGCAACATTATTTTCAAAGCAGCAATCAGATATTAAAAAAAAACAGTAATGCATTTTTTTTTAAAAAAATCAAACCTTATCTTGGAGTAGTTTCTAAATAACAACAAATTGATCTGCACAATCTATGGAGCTTCAAAGGACCTTGGACAGACTGCAAAGTTTTCTCTGAGGATTTAGGTCAGGTGACTTTCAGTCAATTTTGCTTCTTTGTTCTGTTTTAGCATCTGCTTGCAACCCACACACTAACTAAAAAGTTTTCATGTGTGGAACTATTCCTATATTGGCTGTTTTTATTTGCAGTTCTTTTCCTAATCATTCCAAACAGGTACTTTTCCTTTTTTGGATAGCAGCCACACACTGGTTGAAATTGTCTACAATGATTCCAAGATCCCTTTCCTGATTGCTCACTGCCATCTCTTATCCCATTAATATAAGGGTGAATTTGAAACTCTTTTGTGGCTTTTTGTATTCCATTTGTTTATATCAAATTGTACCTGTCATTCTAAGCCCCATTCCTCCATTTGGCAACTCTCTAGTTCGTTGAACATTGTGAGATCCAGCTGAGGCGATCACCTCACTTGTAGGACCAGCTCCCCTATAAAATTCCATCTTTCATGATTACATTATTTTTTTAAAAAACAAATGTTGGCATACGCAGTGGGAATCCAGCAGAGGCACCCATGGAGGGCATCAAACATAAGCAGATGTTTAAAACAGCACTCCACCATTGCAATGGAAGCTCTGGACCTTTTTGTTTGTGAGTTGTGACATTACATACACATACTGTATTAAAAAAGCAGGGTCCAGGTCTCACCCCACTGGGATTGGCCCATACCACTCGTGCCAGCAGAGAAGGCATGCTGTGGGTCCTGTCAGACCGATTAGTCCACCTGGGGGCCCCAGGAGGAGGGCCTTCTCTGCTGTGGCTCCTGCCCTCTGGAACATCTTGCCCTCCAATGTGAGATTGGCTTCAACCTTCCTATCTTTTCGTAAGGGCCTAAAGACGTGGCTCTGCCAGTTGGCTTGGGATCTCAGTGGGGTAACAGTGTAATGGAGGTGGTTGATTAAATAATAACAGATCCCACCTCCCCCCCACCCTTCCAAAGTATCTGATATTAACTTTTTATGCTTCAACTGTATATGTAACTGTTAGCCGCCCAGAGTTACCCTATGGTAAGATGGCCAGCCAATTCATTTTATTTATAAATAAATAAACTTTGGAGAAGCTACAATATGTTTCTGTGCATTCTGAAACATAGAAGGCCAATCTTTCTATTCATTAACTGCCTTCCTGCTCTCATTGGTATTTATGGGCAGGTTAGTCATAATGTACTAGGGCAGGGGTAGGCAACTTTGGCTCTTTTATGACTCGTGGACTTCAACTCCCAGAATTCCTGAGCCAGCCATGCATGGCTGGCTCAGGAATTCTGGGAGTTGAAGTCCATGAGTCATAAAAGAGCCAAGGTTGCCTACCCCTGTACTAGGGTGAGGCACCTGCACAACTAAATCTAGGACAGGCAATCTGTGGACTGCATTTTTTGTTTTTTTTTTGAACTGATCTTTCAGCATCCATTCCATTAGCCATTCCTTCTCAAGCTACTTGAAGGTACAGTTCAGCAATAGCTGGAAAGTTACAGCGTGACAGACTGTCTCCATTAAGCTGGAATGCCAGCCCAAAGGGAATCCAAGACTTCTCCCTTGGCATACCTTCGTTAGACTTATCTCTGACACAGGAAGCCTACTTACTTCAAGTACTCCACTCCATCGGGAGTTGCAGGTACATTGAACCGTTTCATGTACTCGTGCATGTCTGGAAAGCTTTGCTTGAAATAATCTTCAGCGCTGCTTTCTTTCACAGTTCCAAAGCGAAACCCCTGGGAAGGGTGATGCAGCTGAGGAGAAACGCCAAAACATTTTAAGAACAAGCAAAAGCAGGAAGAATTTGTATGCCTTAGTTCCTTGAATTTCAGAGAGCCTTGTCGTTTCTAAGCCATGTAACTGGATAAGAATTCTTTATCAGTCCTTAGGGAATTACATGATTTTATATTTGTTAGAGTTATATCCCACTTTTCACACAACTGCTCACAGTGGCATATATAGCACTCCCTCCTCCTATTTTAGCCCAGATTAACTATCCTGAGAGATGTGACTGGCCTAAAGGCATCCAGATAGCTCCCAAGGCTGATGATGAATTAGAACTTAGGTCTTCCTGGTGCTCCAACTTCCTTACTATTCTATCACACTACAGCCTTTAAATGAATTGTGCCGATAGTTTCAATCACAATGGAGCTCAGCCTTAACTGACCATTAATTCTACAGGTTAGAAAAGTGAGCCCTGTGGATTTTATTCCAGTAGTCATTGCTGACTCTAGGGGGTGATGCTCATCTCGGTTTCAAGGCCATTGGCCCAGTGCTGTTTGAAGACATTTCTGCAGTCATGTGGCCAGCATGACATCACAGAGTGCTGTTACCTTCCCACCAAAGTGATATCAATTCATCTTACTCGCATTTGCATGTTTTTGAACTGCTAGGCTGACAGGAGCTGGGGTGAGGATGGGAGCTCACCCCATCACATGGAGCTCAGGTCTCAAACCTGGGCTGCTAGCTTTCCAGCTGACAAGCCCAGCATCTTAACCACTAAGCCACCATGCCACCCACAGTTTAGAAAGATAGACCAATCATGCCAAAGCTGCCTAACCTGAATACCTGGTTTGGAACTCCTGTTTTTTTTTTTGTTTAAATACCAATCATTTAAAACAGGGGTCTCCAACTTGGCAACTTTAAGTCTTGTGGACTTCAACTCCCAGAACTCCTCAGCCAGCCATGGCAAGTCCACAAGTTTTAAAATTCGCAGTACTCATCAATAACCTCATAAATGATTTAGATGAGGGAATAGATGACATTAAGCTAGCAGGAATAGCCAATACCCCTGAAGACAAGCTCAGGATCCAAAAAGATCTTAACAGACTTGAACAATGGGCCCTATCCAACAACATAGCATTGAATATGGAGAAAAGGAAGGTTTTACACCTAGGCAGGAAAAATGAATGATACAAGTATAGATTAGGCAAAACCTGGCTCAAAAACAGTAACTGTGAGAGGGACCTTGGAGTCCTAGTGGATGATCACTTAAACATGAGCCAGCAGTGTGCGGCAGAAGCCAAAAAAGCTAATATAATCCTTGGTTGTATAAACAGAGGCATAGAATCAAAAACATGTGAAGTATTAGTACTGATTTATAAAGCCTTAGTAAGGCCACACCTGGAATACTGTATCCAGTTTTGGTCACTACATTACAAAAAAGATGTTGAGACTTTGTGCAAAGAACAACTAAGATGATTAAGAGCCTGGAGACAAAAAAAAAATGAAGAACAGTTGCAAGAATTGAGTATGGCCAGTCTAGGGAAAAGAAGGACTGGGAGTGATATCATAGCAATATTTCAATATTTGAGGGGCTACCACAATGAAGAGGGGGGTCAACTTATTTTCCAAAGCACCAGAAGGCAAGACAAGAAAAAACGGATGGAAAGTAATCAAGGAGAGAAGCAACTGGGAATTAAGGAGAAACTTCCTAACAGTGAGGACAATTAACCAGTGGAACAGCTTGCCGTCAGAAGTTGTAGGGGCTTCATCACTAGAGGTTTTTAAGAAGAGACCGGACAGCACTAATCTGAAATGGTACAGGGTTGAGATGTTGAGACTCTAGAAAAAGTGCAGAGAAGAGCAACAAAGATGATTAGGGGACTGGAGGCTAAAGCATATAAGGAAAGGCTGCTGGAATTGGGTATGTCTAGTTTAATGAAGAGAAGGACGAGGGGGGACATGATAGCAATATTCCAATATCTCAGGGGCTGCCACAAAGAAGAGGGAGTCAAGCTATTTTCCAAGGTGCCTGAAGCAGGACAAGAAGCAACAGATGGAAATTAATCAAGGAGACAAGCAACTAGAACTAAGGAGAAACTTCCTGACAGTTAGAACAATTAACCAGTGGAACAACCTGCCTCCAGAAGCGATGAATACTCCAACACTGGAGGTTTTTAAGAAGAGACTGGACAGCCATTTGTCCAAAATGATATAGGGTTTCCTGTCTGAGCAGGGGGTTGGACTAGATGACCTCCAACGTCCCTTCCAACTTTTTATTATTATTATTATTATTATTATTATTATTATTATTATTATTATTATTATTATATAGGGTTTCCTGCTTGAGCAGGGGGTTGGACTAGAAGACCTCCAAGGTTTCTTCCAGCTCTATTCTGATTCATTGATATTATCCATATGTTGCTTAATTTTCAGATGGCACAACGAAGCCATTTTAGAATACTTTGCTTGGAACATTCATTTTTTGCCTATTTTTTCATTATCCCAATATTACATAATTAGTTAAAGACTGAAGTATCTAGTAGTTGTAATAGCAACTGACCAAAAAAAAAAAAAAGGGTTCCAGAAAAATTCCACCTCCTTTCAAATGAAATGGATCCATCACTCTAATAGCTCAAAACAATAAGGCATTCTTCAAATGTGCAGGATTATAAAAGCCAGTACCTGGTTAATGTGGATTGTATAACAAGAACAACAGAAACTATACTTTATTAAATGTATAAGCTACCCAACTTCCAGAAAATCTTAATTTTCAATACGGAAAGATTGCTGGGTAGTTCTCTTGTAGTACAAGGGCAATGCACATGATGCCCATTTCTTAGCTGGGCCCGAAGAACCCTGTGTCTCTAATATTTTTCAGCCAGATTAGGGGATTTTAGCAGAAAATGTCTTAATTTCTTCTCCACTTTCCTATCTTCACTGTTAATGCTATCATATGTTTAATACCGGCTATTTAAGGAGTGGAAAAAAAGGCCCACACTATTGAAGCATCCATCCATCCATCCATCCATCCATCCATCCATCCATCCATCCATCCATCCTTCAACAATCAGGACTGATTTTTGCAATCCACCAGGGAATGATCTCACACAGTTGTAAGAGATGACTAGGCTGTTCCCGAGGGAGGGGTCAAACACGCCATCAGTCTCAAGTCCCTTCATACCCATAAGAGATCTAAGTCCAGCCCACCTTGAATTCCACTAACTCTTATCTACTGCCAATTTGCTTTGACTTTTAATAGTTCAGATTCTTGCAGACTTGCAATAAACCTTTATCTTCATTTTAAATGGCCTGGACTTCCTGATTTTCCCAAACCTGACAACAGTTTAATTAAAGCTATGGAAACAATTCTGTAAATAGTTAGTTTTAATGCATCCAAAGAATTGTTGGCCAATCTACTTACCACAAGGGTGTCAAACTCGCAACGTCACATGATGTGTTGCAACGTATCGTGACTTTTTTCCATTGCCGGCAATGGGGTGGGCACGGTTTCACCATGACGCATCTGGCCCGTGGGCCGGCAGTTTGACATCCCTGGCTTACAAGGGGTCTAAACTGCTTGAGTTTGCCCATGTTAAGGACCAATCAGGAGTACAGCCAGTTTTGCTTTTCATGCAAAGAAAAAGACAATTTGCCAATTAAAGTGTCAAATAAGTTCATGTGATAGGTCATCTTTTAGCAGTTGTGGAGTTTTATTTAATATTTCCACAGTGGAAATGTATTTACTATGAAGCTTTTTGATGGTGGTGGGATTCTGAGAGTTATCTTTAATATTTAAACTATAGTAAGCTTATTTTAGGGCTGGACTGAGATCTCTTATTTTATGGCTTCTGCTTCAGGGTTTGTGTGTATGTCTTTCTGTGTTTCTCATGTCATAATAGTGGAGCAATATTTCCCATTTGCTTTGCAAAGGTGGTCAGAGCTGGTTTGGAGATCTTAGAGGTCTTAGCTAATGTTCCCATATTTTTTTAGTAGCAATCTTTCTTCCAACTGCAGAATTAGGGGGATGAGAACCCCATGCATTGTTCACAAACAATAGCACTTACCTCCAAAATTCCAGAGTGGAATTTAATGTCTATTAAAGGGAACTGGAACCATTAAAGCTTGAAACCTTATCACTTTTTCTCACTGCGTCTTAAAGATTAAGGCTATAAAATAGCGCTTTTAAGGTGAAGAGCAAAACTTCTGTCTATTTTTTAATATTCAATGTCATTTATTCACTTGAGTGCCATTTGGAAAATAGATCTGTGACATAATTAGGCTAGTCATGGGCCTACTTCAATCTTCGTTTTATAGTCAGAATCATTATCACATTATCACACTTCTGCTATTGCTCAATAGAAGAAGACCCTTAGGTTTTAGATATGTAACAAATTTTTGAAGGACACTTCAAAATAACCCAGAGTGCCACTAACTATGCAGATGTTCAAAGATACTCTGCTTAAGAGAAGAATGTTTTCCCGCCTTTCTAAAGCACACACAGCTTAGAGCAGACAGGTCAAACTCGCGATGTGATGTGACATCGTGTGACATCTCGGAACTTTTTCCTCATTGCCGGCAATGGGGTGGGTGCGGTTTCCTTGTGACGCATCTGGCCAGAGGGCTGACAGTTTGACACACCCAGCTTAGAGTGATGAGGTTAAATATCTGATAAAATGATAAAACCAATGAACCAGAGAATATATTGAGAACAAACTTCAGGTAAAAAATATTACTAATTTGCAGAAGGTAGCTTCAAATGAGGCCACTGGAGCTTCATTAGGAAAGAAGTTCCACAGTTTGAATAAGGCTATCACTGGCAGGCTTTAAATACAAAAGACCTTAAATACCAAATACTATAAAGACTGTAAATATACTGTATAAAGTAGAGCAAATGATGACTTTCAGTCAAATAAGTTTCTATCACTTAGTTGTTTCAGAAATGAATGAATAAAATGCATTCACATATTACCATATCTCAATGTGGATGGTTTTGTGGTGAAACTACAAATTTAAATAAAACAATAACAAA